GCCTGAAACTCTCAGACTGAAGAAGTCTCTTGGAGGAGAGACGAAACGTTTCATTAGAGAAGAACCCGTCCAGAYGACCTATACTATTTTTTTCTTTCAGCCATGGACATGTTTGCTTTGAAAGAGAGTGCTCAGTGTCCACTTTATTTCTCCCTGCAGGAACAGGGCACCCCACTGGGAATAGCAAACACTGGTTGGCAGAGATTTTCCAACTTCTGTGCAAGCCACCGTGACAATTACCACTTTGCAGGGACCTGTTGTCCCAAGTGCACAGAGAGATATTTCATCCTTGTCCAGAAAGCCTGGCTCTGTGTGTCCCTGAGTGGCTGAATTTGAACGTGGATGTACTCTCTGTTGGCGTTATTGATACCATTCAGTGGAAGGTGTCTGAAAGCTGGTGTGTGGACTCTCACCATCTCTTATCAGTGTTTAGTGGCAGTGATTGTCATTTTCATAGAACCTTATTGAAAAAAACCTAAGCTTTTTCAACTATTTAGTGGGTGCTATTTCAGCCTGTCATGTTGGTTTTGGGGGGAAATAGTGGGCCAACACCCATTGGTGTGTCATTTTATGGAAGGGGCGTGCTACAAATGGCCCATGTCAGGCCTTTAGCCCCATCCTGGGGGGTGAGATTCATGCTCTTTCTGTGCATCAAGCCTGTATTAAATTTTCTCCTGATGATGCAAGGGTCATATTTCAACCGAACCCTCTTTTATTCCAAAAGTGTTGGGCTCATTTTCCAGTAGAGCTGACTTCTTTCTACCCGCCTCCATTTGCATCAGAGGAGTAAAGACATAATTTATGTCCAGTGTGTGTACTGCGATTCCATTTGTACAGGACACAAGGTTTTAGGAAAACCAATCAATTATTTTGTGTCTTGGGCAAAACCACACATAGGAAAGCCTGAATCAAATTAGTGTCCTTCCCACTGGATTGTGGAAGCTGTTATTTTGGTCTATTCTGGCAGGGGACTCCAGCCCCCAAAGCCAGGGGGCTTCATCCTCTTGGACTCTTTTTAAAGTGGTCTGTATCCAGAAAGTATGTGTAGCTGCATGCTGGTCTTCCTCCGGCATGTTTGCTAGATTTTACAAACTTGATGTGACTGCTCCTGTTTTGGCACATTCAGTCTTAAGTTCAGGTTGTCGTTGTGGTTCCTCTTACCGGGTGGCCACTGGGAACAGTTGGCATTCAAACAGGCATGTTCAGGATTTCTCCTCATAGTGAAGCAAACACCATGAAAGAAAACTTAAGGTCATGAA